CATTCGGCCCCCCCACCCCATGCAGCGGGTCCGTGGCTCCCTGCCCTCCCCCGCAGCCTCCCGCCCACAGAGTCCTTATTCCTCCTGTTCTGGGGCTTCTCTCTCTTTTTCTCACCTCCCCACTCCTTTTGGGGGTCGTATCAAACAAACGACCTGCCCGCAAATCCTTGTCTCACTCTTAACTTCCACAAGAACGAAGCTGAGACTTGGCTGCTGCCAGGGTGGGATTCCGGGTTCCTCCATCAGCGGTGGGGATGGCGGAGAAAGCACTAGCTTTGGAAATGGGCGTGGAGTCCTCCTGCGTGACGGAGGTGGGTGTGTGCGTGTATGTGCAGGTCCGTGGGCGTACACATGTGTGCGGGTGTGTGCACGTGTGGATCTATGTGTGCAGGTCCATGGGCGTACACATGTGTGCGGGTGTGTGCATGTGTGGATCTATGTGTGCAGGTCCGTGGGCGTACACATCTGTACGGGCGTGCATACATGTGTGAATCTGTGTATACAGGTCTGCAGGTGTGTGTAGTTGTGTGAGTACGTGTGTGTGTCCACGTGTGCATGTCTGTATACACACGTGTGTGTGTATCTGTGAGAGCACATTTGCATCACGGATGCATGTGCAAGTGTGGGCACACGTGTGTACACGTGTGTTTGTGTTTCTGCGTGGCGTGGGGAGTGTGTGTGGGTACATGTGTGCGGTGCTAGCTTCTGTGGTGACTTCGGCTCTCTCCCCGCAGGGCCGACCCGCCTAGGTGGGAGGCCCACGTATGTCGGTCGGTCACTTTGGCCCTCTCTTTAGGTTTCTGGATTGCAAGGCGTTTCCAGAGGCATGTACGACGGCCCAGTGTACGAGGTGCCAGCTACACCCAAATATGCCACCACTCCTGCCCCGTCAGCCAAGTCCTCGCCGTCCAAACACCAGCCCCCGCCCATCAGAAACCTCCACCAGTCCAACTTCAGCTTATCAGGTAGGGACGGCGGCCGCCCCGGCCCGCAGGGGGGTCCTCGGGGGCAACGTGACCTCGGTTCACGCAGAGTGCCACCAAGACCGGCCCAGCGTCGTCCTTACTCAGTGGGGGACGTCTTACGCTCACCCTGGAAGGGCCGTGGAGTGTGGTGAAGGTGAGCGAGCAGCCGCCATCTGGGGCCGGGTGCTCTGCGCGGTGCCCGTCCCAGCTTACGGGCCACATTCGTAGTCTCTCGCTTTACTTCACCCTCACACGCACCATGTGTAGAGCAGTGTTATTCCTGGTTTGTTTTTTTTTAAAAAGAGATTTTTGCTATAGGCAGCCTGCACTCATCTGAGACACACAGAGAGAAGGTGAGAAATTACACCCCCTATGGAGGATGGCCACACTTCAGTCCCTTCTCCATTCTCTTCTCAGGATTTTGGGCATTCATGCACGCATGTCCATCATGAGTTTCAAGGTGCCAGGTCCGGGCCTCGAACCATAGTTGACCATGTTGGAGTCCAGTGCCTTACCCACTATGCCACCTGCTGGCCCCCATTTTTTTTAAAGGGGAAACAGAGGCCCCCAAAATTCAGTATCAAATACCAGGACTTGGTGCTCAACAATTAAATGTGAAAAAATGAGTGTGTCAAGGAAACCTAATGGTGACATGGCCCCTCTGGCTTTCTTGATAACTGGAGCAGGTACCTGCACTTTCAGCAGATGGCCACACGAGGGCAGGCACGCACATGCTGGGAGCACAAACTGGACTTGTAGGCACTGGCGAGTTACAGGCTGTACTTTGGAAATGGGCGTGGAGTCCTCCTGCGTGACGGAGGTGGGTGTGTGCGTGTATGTGCAGGTCCGTGGGCGTACACATGTGTGCGGGTGTGTGCACATGTGTGGATCTATGTGTGCAGGTCCGTGGGCGTACACATGTGTGCGGGTGTGTGCACGTGTGGATCTATGTGTGCAGGTCCGTGGGCGTACACATCTGTACGGGCGTGTATACATGTGTGAATCTGTGTATACAGGTCTGCAGGTGTGTGTAGTTGTGTGAGTACGTGTGTGTGTCCACGTGTGCATGTCTGTATACACACGTGTGTGTGTATCTGTGAGAGCACATTTGCATCACGGATGCATGTGCAAGTGTGGGCACACGTGTGTACACGTGTGTTTGTGTTTCTGCGTGGCGTGGGGAGTGTGTGTGGGTACATGTGTGCGGTGCTAGCTTCTGTGGTGACTTCGGCTCTCTCCCCGCAGGGCCGACCCGCCTAGGTGGGAGGCCCACGTATGTCGGTCGGTCACTTTGGCCCTCTCTTTAGGTTTCTGGATTGCAAGGCGTTTCCAGAGGCATGTACGACGGCCCAGTGTACGAGGTGCCAGCTACACCCAAATATGCCACCACTCCTGCCCCGTCAGCCAAGTCCTCGCCGTCCAAACACCAGCCCCCGCCCATCAGAAACCTCCACCAGTCCAACTTCAGCTTATCAGGTAGGGACGGCGGCCGCCCCGGCCCGCAGGGGGGTCCTCGGGGGCAACGTGACCTCGGTTCACGCAGAGTGCCACCAAGACCGGCCCAGCGTCGTCCTTACTCAGTGGGGGACGTCTTACGCTCACCCTGGAAGGGCCGTGGAGTGTGGTGAAGGTGAGCGAGCAGCCGCCATCTGGGGCCGGGTGCTCTGCGCGGTGCCCGTCCCAGCTTACGGGCCACATTCGTAGTCTCTCGCTTTACTTCACCCTCACACGCACCATGTGTAGAGCAGTGTTATTCCTGGTTTGTTTTTTTTTAAAAAGAGATTTTTGCTATAGGCAGCCTGCACTCATCTGAGACACACAGAGAGAAGGTGAGAAATTACACCCCCTATGGAGGATGGCCACACTTCAGTCCCTTCTTCATTCTCTTCTCAGGATTTTGGGCATTCATGCACGCATGTCCATCATGAGTTTCAAGGTGCCAGGTCCGGGCCTCGAACCATGGTTGACCATGTGGGAGTCCAGTGCCTTACCCACTATGCCACCTGCTGGCCCCCATTTTTTTAAAGGGGAAACAGAGGCCCCCAAAATTCAGTATCAAATACCAGGACTTGGTGCTCAACAATTAAATGTGAAAAAAATGAGTGTGTCTAGGAAACCTAATGGTGACGTGGCCCCTCTGGCTTTCTTGGTAATTGGAGCAGGTACCTGCACTTTCAGCAGATGGTCACACGAGGGCGGGCACGCACATGCTGGGAGCACAAGCTGGACTTGTAGGCACTGGCGAGTTACAGGCTGTACTAGGTTCCAGGAAGGGGGCGATGAACTGGACACAGCTGAGAAGCTTTCAGGCTGGTGTTGAAGTCACCAAATTTCTTAAAGGGCCAGATAGGAAATATTTTAGCAAGAGGCACAACCTAGGATGTTGCATTAAATGGCGATTTAAAATGCAACCATTTACAAATGTGAAAGCTAGCCTGAGCTCCTGGACTGTTCGAACACGGGTGGTAGACCAACGCTGACCAGTCGGCCAGTCAGCCAACTCCTGTTCTAGCAAGTGATGGGCATTTAAACAGAAAAAGTGGCACTTTTCACAGAACAGCCAGTGGGAATATCGCCTTAAACTGTGGGAGTGGAGAACCAGTCACCCGTTCAGACAGGGATACCTGTCTCAGCAGTTACGCAACATGAGGTCTGACTCGGTCTCCAGGCCATCTCGTTTCCAGGCACAGTGAGTCTCATTCCAGCGTTTCAAAGTCCCCAATATTGTTGCACCTGATGCTCAGGCAACAGAATGGGGGTGGTCAGTATTCCAGGAGAAGCCGTGTAGCTGGGATAGCACATGGCCTCTCCAAGGAGTTTGCAGTGTGGACTACTGTTCTTCAGTTATGCAACTAAACCCTGCATGATTGCAATTAATACACAGAGAGAATCCCCTCCCTCTCGTTTAGAACGAGGGTAGCAATGAAGTAAGGAGCCTACCAGAGAGCCCCCCAGCACACTGGTCCCTCAGTGCTCCCCGAGGCCCACAGTGCTGCCCTCGGCCAGCCCCACGGCAGCCTGACTTCATCTGCTGCCAACACCGGGAACGACGTCACGGGATCCTTTTCAATACCTGCACAGTGTGACAGTCAGTATATGGATGTAGCATGGCTGTCACACTGCCCTACAGAGATTTTCCGAGCACAGACGTGGACAGCATGATGGGGATGGTAATGGGGGACAGGTCTTACGTGCCAGGCCTGCTTCCTGGACCTTTGGGAGCCTGTCTACCAATGAGACACTGCGGAGAAGAGCAGTCAGGACCCCCAGCCATCTCAGCGGCTCCTTAGATAAATGGCGTGATGTTGGAGTTGGAAGGACAGCATCTAGTCGAGTGCTCTTGTTTTTCAGAAAATGAAAGGCCCAGGAGGTGGGTGGTGTCTATTCCAAGTTACTCAAGTTTGGGGCACACTTTGTACTGAAACCTGAGTCTCCTGACTGGACGCTGGGACGTACTTTCCAACATCCCCCCGTTCCGCGTTATCCATCCTTTGCTCTTCACTTATTTAATAAATATTATTGAGCACCAGGCTCTGGGCTTGGTTCTGAAACCTGAAGTCTTTATTTAACTGCAAGAGAATGTGTAAGATTAGAATAAATGGTAGATTTTGGAGACTTAAAACAAAACAACTGCACCCCCCCCAGTTCTGTCCATTGAAAATGGGTGCGAATTCAGCTCTGAGTGGTTCACATGCACACACACAAACAAATACGAATGCACACTCACACACACACATATATACACATGAATGCACACTCACACACACACGCCACATGTAAAATATCTTGGGAACATGGGACATTGTAAGACTGGGGGCTTTGGAAACAAACTAGTGAGGGATTGGATACTGGCTTCCCCACCCAAGACACGTGACCTTAAATTCCTCGTGTGTAAACTGTGGGTGAACAGCCCTCTATAGTGTTTGTGTGTGCGCTACACAATAACGTGTGAAAACATGGAGTCTGGGACTGCACACAGTAGGTACTCGTATGTGTTTGTTCATGTGTCTCAAGAACGTCAGATTCTACTGGGCAAGCCGGGAAGAGGGAACACAGGTGACTGGGCTGTCAGAGGGGGTGCGGGAGAGAGAGCAGGCCTTCTGGGGTGTGGGAGGCCTCCCACAGGTGAGCTGGGAGGGGACAATCACAGGAGGATAGAAGACGGGCACAGCATTCGAATAGGAGGGGGCCTGGCAGAGCACAGGGCCTCTGGGACCAGCAGGCAGCTCACCCAGAAAGGCTCGGCTCTCTGTCTCTTTCAGGTGCCCAGATAGATGACAACAATCCCAGGCGTACCGGCCACCGCATCGTGGCGCCCCCTGGTGGCCGCTCCAACATCACCAGCCTCGGTTGAACGCAGACGCGGGGAGGAGCTCCAGTGAAGGCTTCTTGGAATAATGTCCATTCCTTTTCCTGTCAGTGTTTTTGAAACCCAGTTTTATTTGGTACTGATGGGGGGAAATTGAACGACGTCCTTTCCTTTGGTTTAGGGAGAAGTGGTATAGTGTGGTGTGTTTGCTTGGAAATCCCTTGCCCACAGTGTGTTCATGCCAAGTCCACCTCAGAGCATGGTGTTTCCGTTTCCCTTCCTAGTGGCCCACGGGCTTTAGCATCGTCTCGTACTGTCCCTTCCACTTCCACTCCGCTGGCTCCATGATTCTGAGTGGTGGCTCCTTTGCATCCTCGTAGCTGTTCTAGGATAGTTGATGCATGTAACTAAGTTATGTATGCAAGTCTATGAGTGCGTCCGATGGAACGTCGCCACTGACGTAGACGCGATGCCAAGACCTCAAGCCCTCAGAGGCAACTCCAAGACTCTGAGAATGAAGATGTTTACTCATTGCCCCCACCCCGAGTCTACACTAGGATGAAGCCCGTCCCACCCCCTCCCACCCCCCTTGAGATGGTCTGGGAGTTCCCAGAGTGGCAGGGGAAGCCTTCTACTTGGTTGCAGAGAAACATCACCACGTCCTGTGTCAGAAACCCTGGTCTCTGTGGCACTGTAACCCGCCATGATGTCTTTCTGGTCTGTGCGTGTTCTCCCAGCCAGCGCTGGGCTTCGGACCAAGCCATGTTCACACTCAGCGAGGGGTCTCCCTACCCCCATCCAGGGCTGACGACGGTGGGGTGACAGCTGCTCCCGGGTGGCCTGAGTCCTGGTTCCCTCCGAGACAGCTGACGGGGCAGTCAGATTTTTACAGTTTTGTACAAAGTTTTCCTTTGTAATCACCCCCATTTTTACTTAATGACCGACTTGTGGTGGCTCTTACTTCTGAATTCAAAGCTTGTGAAAAAATAAAGAAAATAAACTGCCCATGCACCTGAGTGGCTGTTTTTCTGTAGGTTGGGCCAGTGCTTGGCAGTCCCCCCAGAATCACTGAATGGTGGTGGCTGTTTCCCCAGAACTCACGTTGGGAAGGGGAGAGAAGAGAATTAGCCCACGGGTCCTAGAGGGTTAGTCCCAGACCTGAGACTCACGGATGGGAAGAAGAAAGGCAGCGATGGAGGGGCTTCTGTGAAGTGGGTTGACACCCTGTGTCCGCCCCCTCCCAGTGGGCTCTCTTGCTCTGTGTGGGTCGGCCTGAGACTGTGTGCATCCACACAAGTCTGCCTCAGTCCCACGAGCCAGGTGGGCATTCTGGGGAGAGCAAACCCAGCAAGGGAACGTGCCTCCAGTAGCGGGTGGTGGCAGTGCTGGGCCTGGCCACTACCTGCCCAGCACGAGCCATGGCCAGGCGCTGTGTGGGAGGCTCCATTGGTTTTTGTTTTGTAGGGATTTTTGCTATAGGGCGTTGTGTGCTTGCCAGAGAGACAGAGAGACAGAGATAGAAATCACCCCCCCAGGGGGAATGACAATGCCGGCCATGCACAATCCCTTCTCTTCCATTCCCTCTCAGGATCTCGGGCACGAACACACAGGCGCCCAGTGTGAGTTTTACATTGCTAGATCCAGGACTCAAACCATGGTCAACTATGTGGGAGTCCAGTGAATAGCCCTTGTACCATCTGCTGGTCCCGGGGGGCATTTTGGTTATACCCACTTTACAGATGAGGAACAGAGCCATCCAGACAGCTCAGTCTTGTCTAAGACTGCACAGCTGGGAAGTGGCAGGGCCAGACTGCTTTCTTTCATTTCTTTCTCTTTTAATTGCTAAAAGGTGTGTGCTCTTACCAGCGAGAGAAAGGGAAGTGAGAAAGCATCCCCCGTGGGGGTAAGTCATGCCACAATCCCTTCTTCATTTCTCCTCTTGGGATTTTGGGCATGTGGGCACACACACACACAGTGTATTTTTAAAGTCGCCAGGTCTGGGACTCACACCCCACAGTGAGCCATGTGGGATCCAGTTCTTAGTCATCACGCCATTGGCTGGCCCCAGAACCAGATTTCAACCCAGGACCAGGCAGTTTAGCTCAAAGTCCAAATCTTAAGTCTAACTACTAAGCTTGCTATTTGAGGCAATGGCTTTGGCTAGTCCTCTCTCTACTTAGAGATTTTAGTGTGCTTTCCCCTCCCCTGTTCCTCAGCTTGTTTTGGATACCTTGGTTGAAGGTTCAAAAATATTGGCTCAGGGTCAATAATTGATTTTCTTGAAACAAGGCTAAATACAAAGAAAGGTCAAAGTTGATGGTAAGGATAGTTTTTAGAATTATTTTTATCTATTTTTTCATTTATTGTTATTATTTTTTAATTTGACTGGGGGTGGGGGGAGTGAGAAAGCAAGCCTCCCAAGTTCAGGACTCAAACCCTGGTCAGCCATGTGGGAGTCCAGTACCCCAGTCACCATACCACCTGCTGGCCTCTGGTAAGGATGTTTGATGTTTGGCCTTGGCGCCTTTGGACCATTAAAGGACAACACAGGAAAATTCCAGAAGAGTAAAGATGAGAACAGTAAGTTACCCACCATGCTCTCTGCCCTCGCGTTCCAGTCCTGTCAAGGTAGAAGCAGAAGCAGGAGTAGCCGTAATGTCCTTTCTCTAGACTGACAGGCCACAGCCCAGCCCATATACCTGGAGCCCATGCCCAACTGCAGGTTCTCAGGACCTCCAAGAGGCGGAGTGACAGGGGGACAGCACAGCGGCCCTGGTAAGACGGTCGTCTTAGTTCTCAGAGATTGACCTGCCACATTCCCTTTAAGGCATACAATTTTCTTCTATCTCTTGAAATTTTAAGAGGATGGAGGGGGTTTTGCAGAAAACTTTGGGGAAAGGCTATTCGTTCTCCCACTCATTCATCTGCAACCTTAATCCCCCACCCATACAACATATAGTCACGGCCCTCAGGAGTTTGGATGCAGGCCTTGGGTGGAGTGGTAGGGGTGTGGTGTAGGCATTATTCTGCGTACCTTAACAGTCCTCTAAGTTTTCTTCTAGAAATTTTAGCTTTCACGTTTAGTACTATTGTCTAGCTCTCAAGATCTGTATGGACAATGTGGCTGCAGAGCTGAAGGCTCCCTTTTTCTATATGATATTCAACAGGCTCAGCACTTTTTACTGAAAAGAACTTCCTTTCCCCCACTGACTTGTGGTGGAGCCTTCCTTATAAATCAGGTGACCACCAGTGTGTGGGCCTTCTGATTCAGGGTCTGGAGGTGTGCTGCTAAGTGCTGAACAGGCGTGGGGGCCCGTGGGTGGATAGCCTGTGGGTGGATAGCCCTGGGTTGTTTTCTTGGTGTAATTTCCACGATGCAAATACTGTCCTCATAGCCAATTCCAAGTTACCAACATGAGGGGAGTGAGGTTGGGAATCCATAGAATTTAATCGTTGATTTCGCTGTCCCAGGAAAGGACACTGCATTGGTGGGTCTGTCTCTGAATCCAGATTGTATATTGACTCTTAAGTAGAGACAAAGTTATTGCATGTACTTTTTTTTTTTTTTTGCATCCCTGTAATGCTCTATCCATTTTCAGATGTCCCCTGTACTGCCTGCCACGTCCTAAACCCCAATATTGGTTTGTCCATGGCGGTCAGAGAGTATGGACAGAGAAGGCTGCTACCCTTAGCCTCTAGCAAAATCTCTGGCAAATCTCAACTGAGTTTCTCTCTGACTAAAGTGTACAATGACTCTGTTACTCTTTCCAAGACAAAGGAGGGGACCAATGAGAGATTTACAGTGGCAATTATAAGTTTCTCCCCAGTCAGGTCAATTTATGGAGTGAAAGAGCAAGAAGAGGATTCCTAAACAAAAGAGACTCTTAGGATGTTGAAGACTCTCCTTCTCATAGTGTAGACCTGCAGAGATCTTATAGGCCAGGATACCTGACCCTGGTCCAACTAGCTTCAGAGTAAGGGTCCTCGCTGATCACTTCTGTTCCCCACAAGAGGGAAAACTGTTGTGTGGCTACACCAGGTGTCCAGGGTCTACTTGGGGATTTTCCCAGACAGCTGTCAAGTCACTCAGCCACCCATCTGTTATATCTACTGTGGACTGCAAGCTCTTCCCCTATTCAGGCAGTAGGTGGATAGTCCCCATGCGGGTGCAGCCAGCAGTGCAGAAGAGCTCCTGAAAGGGGAGCAGCAAGGCCTCAACCACCACACTTCCTTGTCCAGACCTTGCATTTGGAAATGAGACTAACACCCATAACCTTCATGACTCAGTTTCATAGCAAACAGCAATACTCAACTTCTGACATTCACCTGCTTTATAGAAGATTTCTCCTGGGCCAGGTGTCTGCTCAAAGTCCAGGGGTGGGATGGGGGTGGAGATGGCCAAGTGGTTTTCAAGGAAAACAGAGAACACAAGTGGTGTCCAGTTCTCCATAATGTTTCCAAGCTGAGAGTTCTCAAAGGGGAAGGGTTACCAAGCCTGTGATGCCAAGTGCTGTAATCTGGGTCCTCTGAGATGCAGAGACTAACATAGGATTAGATGTGCACAGGACACATATGGGCACAAATACCTGTGAGAGGAGACGGGAAGGGAGTAGGAGGCTGAGACAGCCTCAGATTGGGATGCAGATCTGAGCCCTGTAGAGGAGGGAAGGAGAGGAAGGAAGGATAGAGTAGAGGGAGGGAAGAAAGGAAGGAGGAAGGGTCTTTGATGTTGCACAGTTGTAAGATAGTTTGAGAAGGGTGAGTGGAGAGTTCTTGGGCCCAAGTTGCCCTTCAGAGGAGCCCCTGTCTTAAAGGCACAGGACTGCCTCAGTATCCCTGCCTGTGTCAGAAACTGGTTGAGCAATCTTTGGGAAGCAGAGCCCCCACACTATGACAGGGCAGGTTTGGAGCACTGCAAACTGGGGATATTAGTCAGCTAGGTCTCCTTGTTGTAGAAGAGCTAAGGTGCCCATGTCTGCCACTGTCAGAACAATGGAATGAGGAGCTGACTTTTAAGTACAGTGGCTGGATCTAAAGCCATTGAGGAAGGCACATCAGGATGTGGAAAGGCCACCTCAGGAGCCCAGTGAAAAAATACAGATTATGCTGACAAAATGCTGAGTCAGAATCTCTGAGATGGGACCCAAGAATTTGTGTTAACATGTTCCTAAGGGCCAGCAGATGGTATAGTGGTTATGTTACTGGACTCCCACATGGCTAACCGTGGTTCAAGTCCTACACCCAGTGGCTTGAAACTCACACCAGGCATGTGTGTATGTGTGCCCAAGATCCCGGGAAGAGAATGAAGGAGAAGGGATTATAGTATGGGCATTCCCCTGGGGGGGGGGGGGACTGCTCTCTTTCTCCTCTTCGTCTTGTTGAGATGCAGAGACTAACATAGGATTAGATGTGCACAGGACACATATGGGCACAAATACCTGTGAGAGGAGACGGGAAGGGAGTAGGAGGCTGAGACAGCCTCAGATTGGGATGCAGATCTGAGCCCTGTAGAGGAGGGAAGGAGAGGAAGGAAGGATAGAGTAGAGGGAGGGAAGAAAGGAAGGAGGAAGGGTCTTTGATGTTGCACAGTTGTAAGATAGTTTGAGAAGGGTGAGTGGAGAGTTCTTGGGCCCAAGTTGCCCTTCAGAGGAGCCCCTGTCTTAAAGGCACAGGACTGCCTCAGTATCCCTGCCTGTGTCAGAAACTGGTTGAGCAATCTTTGGGAAGCAGAGCCCCCACACTATGACAGGGCAGGTTTGGAGCACTGCAAACTGGGGATATTAGTCAGCTAGGTCTCCTTGTTGTAGAAGAGCTAAGGTGCCCATGTCTGCCACTGTCAGAACAATGGAATGAGGAGCTGACTTTTAAGTACAGTGGCTGGATCTAAAGCCATTGAGGAAGGCACATCAGGATGTGGAAAGGCCACCTCAGGAGCCCAGTGAAAAAATACAGATTATGCTGACAAAATGCTGAGTCAGAATCTCTGAGATGGGACCCAAGAATTTGTGTTAACATGTTCCTAAGGGCCAGCAGATGGTATAGTGGTTATGTTACTGGACTCCCACATGGCTAACTGTGGTTCAAGTCCTACACCCAGTGGCTTGAAACTCACACCAGGCATGTGTGTATGTGTGCCCAAGATCCCGGGAAGAGAATGAAGGAGAAGGGATTATAGTATGGGCATTCCCCTGGGGGGGGGGTGATTTCTCACTTTCCCTCTCAGTGTCTCTCTGTAGTGAGTGTACATGCCCTAAAGTAAAAATCTCTTAAAAAAAAAAGTTCCTTAGTCTGACACACACCCGAATCTGTAAGCCACAGGAGAAAGACTATTTTACGTCCTCCCTCTCTTTCTTCCACCAAGGAGATGTGCCTGCTACATTCCAGTTGCTGCTCTGGTCAAGAAGAATGCAGGGGGTACATGTGTCAGGGAGGAAGTAAAGTATTAATCAAATTATTACCTAAGCACCTACTTGTATATTCTGCCAAGTGTCATAAAGGAAACATTTTGCATAGAGTAGATAATGCTTACCTCCCTCTGCTCATGTCTCCATAGAAGGTGGGACTTCCATGTCCTGGGGGTTGGAAGTAAAGGCCCACCTGGCCTCTCATTCATTCTTCTCCAGGGAGGAGGAGAAACTCTTAGTTGGTGGTCTGGTAAGGAGCCCTTCTCTCTCCTTATGGACTCAGGAAACACACTTTTCCCTGGCTGTTGATTTATCATGAAGGCTTTGTGCTCACACTACTGACAGTTCTTGCATAGAGACCCCTACCAAGGCCCCAGGAGTGGGCTTAGCAATGTGTTTCATATATGTCTACAGCTTCCAGTAGACAGTAGTTTAAACTTCAGCCAGTCAAGATCACGGCTTCTTGTTGCTCTAACATTCCTGCATATCACGTGACACTGGGACATTTTTGAGATTTGGTTGCAGGCTGGCTCAGTTAGATTTACTGGGCTATGTTTGTTTGGGTCCCACTGTATACTTATATGTAGTTAATGTATTGCTAGCCAGTCCACTTAATTTATTGCATGGCTTCTAGGAATACTGTGCTGCTCGCTGTGCTAGCCTGACTTCATCACAGCTCACACACACGGTGCCTGACGTTGTCACAGCTTGGATGTGCCTCATGGCAACCAATACTGGAAGTGTGCAGATGCCAAGAGAGAAGGCAGAGCGTACAGCCTCTGAAGCTACTCTGGAAACTCTCCCAACCCCCAGACATGTGAAATTTTTACAGGAGAAATAGTAAGGCAAGTATTAGAGATGAGTTGAAAAATGAATGATTTCTTAAATATGTTACTTTGGAATTTGCAATTTTGTGGAATTTTTCAGATTTATAAAATATGTAATTTGTCTTTACACAATCATTCTACATTTATATTCACTTTTATGCCTATTGTAATTTTACTTGCTTTTTGTAAAATGCACATCTCTCCCACCTAATGTTCTAGACCCACAAAATCTGGGTCTTCCTTGATTGCTTCTACCATCTGTTTTCAAGGACGTCTCCAGAGTGGAGGTTATGATTGAGTGCCCATGTTTGTGTGGCTGGATGGGCAATTATAATTTAGAGGCAAGATATGAACGAGTCCTCTGTGACCACAGAGTTAATCTCATTCCTCCAATCTGGCTTTAACAATTACAAAATGGATATGTACATTTGTCTTTTTGCCTACTTTTCAATTGGTTCTGAATTTGGACAGGAAATAAGGAATGTTGTTTACTCCTCCACTCCCCACCCCAGTTCCAGCAGAAAAATATACGATGATGAGAGGATAAAAAAGGGGGTTGACATTATCTGGAGTTGGTAGGTGGGGGGTGGAAGGCAGAAAAGCCCTTGTGAAGGTAAGTCCTTAGTGAGGAGGTAAAGAAAGGATAGGAAGCAGAGGGGGTGGGGAGGAACGGGGTGCTCTGGACAGAATGAATATCATGTGCAAAGGCCCTGAGGTAGGCAGGGACCTGACGATGTAAGCAGAGACAGGCTGGGTGCAGGGTGAAGGGGAGAGGGCATTAGCTGAACTGGGAGGTGGGCCCACAGCAGGCTTCACAGGGCCTCGTGGTCCACATTTGAGATTTTGTTTTTTCTCCTAAGAGCCAGAAAATGTCACTGATAATGTCAGATCTGTGTTTGAGGAAGTGTGGGGCAGGCAGGGGAGAAGAGCTGGAGCAGAAAGGAGCCTCTGCTGTACTGGCAAGCTCAGTATCACCCTGGCCAGGGGTGCAGAAGTGACAGCATGAAGCTGACCCAGGCTGGCCAAAGGGTCCTAGAGAGTGCTGCCATCGTACACCCTGCTGGCTTCATCCCATTGTGTCATCAGGTCAGACAGCACGTCTTCATGAAAGAATCAACTCACTAACCTCCTCGTCCAATCATCACTCAAGGTCCCCTTCTAATACAACCTCATCTGTAGTGGATTAAGAGCTGGGGACCTTAACCAAAGTGGGGGCGAGGTGGTTGACATGTGTCAGACGCCTCATCTCTCCCTGGGCTTACATATAGCCCCTTCATGCAAGTCAGTCCCTCAGGCCTTAGAGCCTCATCAACATCAGGGCGTCCTCGAGCCTATGGCTTTGAGATCGCCACACTGTGATGGGATGAAAACGCAGTCTACAAGTCTTTACCAAGCCATGTGCCCCACATTGGCCGAGCTCGTCAGCTGGGCAGCCAGGGAGGGCAGGGCCACGAGCAGATGGCATGTTCCTTTGGGCGGAGGAAGCTACACTTCAGATGCCAAACCAAGATCTATGCAACGGCCAAGATGGTGGGGGGGAACCAGACAGCGAGGTCTCTAGGAGGGGAGGGTTTGGTTTGGCCTTGTGATATTTAAGCTGATATTTTACATGACCTGTGACATGCCAGAGGCCTAATCTCGGGTACCCGGAAAGTCCTGATGCTGCAGGTCTGCATTTGTTGTTTGAATGTCACCAAAGCTGGCACCCTTAACACAGGAGCCATGACTTCAGGGCATCTCTGTGTAGAGCACCCATGTGACAATACGAACGTGACTTCTAGGCAAACCAGGGTCTGAGAATACTGAAGCCATAGTATTTTACAGAGATGCCATGGACTGACAGTATTTTATTGAGCCACAAGAGGGAACTGTGGGTAACTTCAGAAATCCCACTTTCGGAATTTCCAGATGCTCTGATGCTAAATCCGGTTAACAAGTGTGGTCGTGATTATTTACTTCTTCTGTGAAGGAGATGCTCTTTCCTAAGACAGTCTAATTTAGGTTTTAAAAATAAAACTTCACAAATGGCCAAGGAACTCCCCAAGATGGGGGATCCCTGAGCCCCAGAGCCCCGGCACCCTGGGTGTTCACAGAGATATGGCGCTGTCACGCCTCGGCTTGCCCCGGAGAAGGCACACCTGACTCAGGTCAGTGGGTAGTGCCCGGTGACGCTGGGCCATGTTCGGAGACATTTCTGGTTGTCAACTAGGGCAGCCCCTCACCCACACAAAGAATCAGCTCACCTAAATGTCCACAGTGCTCAAGTTGAGAATCCCCGATTTTGATGAACAATTTTTCTCCAGGTAGGAAAGGGCTCTCTTGGCTGTGGTTTATGTGTGGCTGATCTGGAAGCTTCTGGATGTTCAGCACCCACTGGGAGAAGCAGGTGTCCTGGGACACTTCTCTTTAGTGAAGCCCAGGGGCCGGGCGAGGCCTCCTACTATGTACTACTTGTGCCCTCACAGGTGCCATTATGTGCCTGTGGGCCTCAGGCCTCAGTGGGCCAAGGATTTTGCGGTGTGTGTCAGGGTCATGGGGCCGGGGACTCAGATGCTCCCATGGTGACCAGCTCTCAGTTGCTGGTTGAGCCAAAGGATGGGGAAATACCAAAACCCGGGATGGGTCCTGATGAGAATGCCATGGCAGGCATGACCAGGGTGCACGGGAGAGAGAGAACAGGGTGACGGAGACGACGGCCACAGTGGCCTCAGATCCGAAAAACATCATCAGCGCCTGAGCTCCACCCTCCAGCCCAACCCGGCAGCATTTCAGAGAGCCTGGTGGGTAGAGGGCCTCGAGCTGTAAGGAGGCAACCTCGAGCTAGGGGATGCAGGTTCCAGCACCATCAAGACCCGGGGCCGGAGGTAGGGGCTGGGGAACAGAGGACCGGGGAGGAGGGCACCCTCCTGAGGAAGGAAGAGACCCATGGGAATTGGAAGGGCTCGAAGCCGAATGAGATGCCAAACTCGCAGAGACGTGCTTCCAGCACCAGGGCTCCTGGCTCTCTCGGGCCGTAGGGTGCTCGTCATCATTTATGCTTTTCAGAGCCCCTTTACATCGCGTCTCCAGCCCCTCTCACGAGCAGCCTGTGAGGCAGTGCGGAGACCCTTACCCAGCTCAGGGACAGGGAGGCAGTGTTCACACCCAGAGTCAGGGCTTCAAATCCGGTCCCCTAACGGGTCTGAAACTACAGATTGCCTCTTTTCTTCAGCATCTTCGAGTTCTCACCATCACCAACTTCACTTTCTTGCTGACTCAGCCTTTTGGTGCTTAAAACATGGAAGAGACGCAGCCAGTTAGAGCGCTGCCTCCGTGCCCGTCCCGACCGACTACATGAAAAGGCGGTGATGGGGGATCAAAGCACTTTTCATTCTGACGTGATTGTGAAGGGGACAAACAAAACCCTGTTTCCCCGTTGGGGGGCAGATCACATGCCACGGAAAGAAAGATGCACGTGCCCACGTGACCGAGGCGCCCTGCACTGGCCCACCCCGATGGGCATCCCAAAGCCTCTGAAGCAAGTGGCAGCCCTGGGGACGAAAGGGGCCACCTGGCCATTCAGCCTGGGAACTCTGGGGCATGGGAGGGAGCGCAACAAAGCAGGGCAAACGCCAGCCTTTCCCGTCACCGTCACGGCCCCCTGTTTTCCAAGCCTGATCATATCCATGATTTCCTGGACCCACACATTGTGCCCCGGGGAAGAGCTGGCTGCAGCACATGGCAGGTGGCCAGCAAGCAACAACTGGCAATAGACCAGGTCCTGACCATACCTGGGTGATCCCGAGTTGTGGTCCCCAGAGACAGGGTCATCCTCATTGGGTGTTCCTGGGTCCCCTCTCTCCTGAGGTGGTGGTTTCTTCCTTTTGGTCCTGAGGGGCTTCTCTGTAGGAAACAGATGAGCTAGGCATGGCTCTGTGACTACAGGCAGGCAGCAGCGTCTAGTGGCCTTACTGGAACCTGGCCTGACATTTTTGGAGCAGCACATGAGTGTATACTTAGCGTCCTACTGCCACCCCCACCCCCCACACCGTCTACCTAAACAGCGGCTTCTCTGTAGGAAACAGATGAGCTAGGCATGGCTCTGTGACTACAGGCAGGCAGCAGCGTCTAGTGGCCTTACTGGAACCTGGCTTGACATTTTTGGAGCAGCACATGAGTGTATACTTAGCGTCCTACTGCCACCCCCACCCCCCACCCCGTTTAACTGAGAAGGAAACTCGGGTGCAGGGAGATGAAGTGCTTTCTCAAGCCTTCACAGTCAATAAATTGCAAAACCGGGATTTCAAAGTCAGGTCTGTCAGCCTCATTTTGCATTTGTATTCAACTCAGTTGCCTTTAAGATGTTTAAAGCCATTAGAGCCCCAGGCTCTGTTGCAATAGACTGTGTCTTTACATCTCCCTTGGAGTCACTCTCCCACTACATTACAACTGTGACACCTTGTGATGTCACTGACGTCACTGGAAGGGAAGGAGGGCTTATTATCCCCAGCTGACAAATGGGCAGACAGTCAGAGATGACACATGGCTGGTGAGCAGCAGACTCAGAGACTGGAACTGCGCAACTAGAGAGCAAGGGGGTCCAAAGTCCATCTTAAAACGAAGCCTGCCCAATGACAGACAAGGACACCAACGCCCAGAGAGGTTAAGCATGATGCCTAAAGCCACACAGTTAGTTAGTGGTAGACATGGGACTAGAACCCACAGTTCTCAGCCCAAGTGCCTCCTGCAGTCCACACCTTCTATGACTTACCTGGCAGCCCACGCCTATTGGAAAATGGTTTGCTTTCAGCAAGGGGCACTCGGGCCAAGGCCGCCAGCTCGAAGATGAAGTTCTGCTCGGCGTCCTACGTGGAGACGGGAGTGGGTCAGCGGGGCCTTCCTCAGCCTTGGTCCACCTCTCTGAGAGCTCCAGGACAGCTGACAGGACCCTGTCCCTGGCATGGAGGAGGACCTTCTAAGAAGGACCCAGAGAGGTCAGGAGCCAGACAGAGGTCCCCAGAAGGAGCCAACATGAACCAGTTCCTGTCGGATAGGCCTCTTCCTCGTTGGTGAAAGATGACATTAAATAGGGGTGTGAAGGTCTCAGCTCAGGGACTAACAGACCCTCAAAATAAATGTCACCATTTTCACCATTCTTATCACCGTCACTGTTGCGAAGGGCCAACAAGCTTTCATTCTGTAATACTTGATTTTTTTTTTTTTAAGTTTTTGTCATAAGGCATGTGTGCTCACCAGAGACAGACAGAGAGGGAAAGTGAGAAGACATACCCTGGGGGAATGGCCATGCTGTAGTCCCTTCTTCTTCATTCTTCTCCTGGGATTTTGGGCAGGCACACACACATGCCCGGCATGATTTTTAGGCCAGCAGGGCCAGGACTCAAACTGTGACTGGCCATGTGGGAGTCCAGTACCTTAACCACCACACCACCTGCCGGCCCTTGATTTTATTTTATTTTCTGAAGGTGGCTACTTTGCTTTATAGTTGCACCTTATAATCTGACCAGTGGGATTTGTTCCATGATGTGATAACCACTTTCTGTTACTAATGAGATCTGAGTGTCTCACATATGCTAGGTAATGAAGCCTTCGAAGCAGAGCTACCTAAATGGCCCTGACGTCAGCCCTGACACGGAAAAGGCCACCTGGTGGCGATGTACGCGGGGAAATGCTCGTTTCCCTTTGAGTCAGTACACGTGGGCTGATCAGCAGCTCAGGGGCTGTCCCTGCATGGCAGATGTGCAGGGAATCAACACAGGCCCTGCTGTTCTCAAGGTGCTCATGGCGCGATGGAGGGGCCGAGGCACCGCAGCCACTGAGCCTAAGTGGATAGAGGGAAGCACAGGGCCCGATAGGCTGCGGCACCTGGAGCAGGAGCACGGGGACCTGACCAGTGATCGCAAGGTTGGCGTTTTGCCTTTTCTGCTCCTGCAAACCACTGCTTTTCAAGGGTTGCTTTTAATATCTCATACCTGCAGCTGGGTCTCCAGTTGGGCCTCCAGGTGGTCCATAACCCTTGCCTTCTGCTTCTGAGCATCCAGGCGGACCTGCTGGTGCATGGCAAACTGGGCCAGGAACCTTTTCTGCTGCGACAACACCCTGGTGGAAGGAAGGAAGGTGATCACTGCTGCCAGCCAGCAGGGCAGTCAGCCTGCACACACCGTTCCGAGGGCCTGCAGAGTCCAGGCGATTAGTGAGTATCAGACGTACCCAGGAGCCCAGAGGAGACTGGCTATGTGGACACAATTTATTGCAACCACACACATCATGGGCACATCCCGAGTCTCCCCACGAACAAAGTGGGTGCTGTTTGACTAATACGTGCAAGTTTAAAGACTTCAGCATGCATGTTTCACCTGCTCTTCAGGGCAGCTTGGTGACGTTAGCAGGACGGAGTGGAAAGGTCTGGGGAGGGAGACGCTCAGAGAGGAGGGGGCCTCCCTGGGGTCACATAGCGGCGAAGTGAGCACAAAGTGACACCTTATGAGAAAACTCTTACCTCCCAGGGAGCAAGGTTCTGGAAGGACTAGAGGCTGCCAGCCACATGTACTTACTCTTACTGACCCCTGTAAGCAGGCAGGCTGCAGCATCTGAGAACTCCTGAGCGGGCGGCGTGGTTACTCAGGACTGGCATGGCCTCCCTGGGGTCACATAGCGGCGAAGTGAGCACAAAGTGACACCTTATGAGAAAACTCTTACCTCCCAGGGAGCAAGGTTCTGGAAGGACTAGAGGCTGCCAGCCACATGTACTTACTCTTACTGACCCCTGTAAGCAGGCAGGCTGCAGCATCTGAGAACTCCTGAGCGGGCGGCGTGGTTACTCAGGACTGGCATAGAGGCTGGGCCCCTGAGCCGAAAGAGCTCCTCCTTCCTCTCGTGTGAGCTCTCTCCCTCCTTCCCA